CCTGTTGTTCACATTGCGTTCAGGTGTGCTGGAATCTTAGGGCTCTCCTTAGAATGCTACAGGATATTAATTCTGCATTCATTTTTAAATATGGGGTTTAAATTGTTTCCCACTTAAAAATACAAAATACTTTACTTACACTAAATCTTTCTACATTTACACATTACCATTTTAATTTCTGGTGTAGACCTCAGAGTAAAGTTCTAACTGTCATCTCACTAGTCTGTGTATACTCCTAAGTTTGCAAATTGGACTATTAAAAAAACCCAAAAAATATTTCTCTTTTGTAGCCACTCCTCTATATTCATCAGAATTTCTACAAAACTGTGTAACCATCCAAAATGCAAATGATTTCTAATGTGTTTGTATAAATTGTCTTTATAATTAATATGCTTTATAATATATGCATTAGCGTTTATAAAACAAAATTATGCCTTATCAACTTCATATACTAAGGTTTTAGTTTATTCCCTATAAGAAATGTATTTTAATTAATATTAAAATGTTTAAATATTAATGTGTTTAAAAATTAATATGTTTAAAAACAGCGAGTAGCATTTCTTTTGGGTCTTAATGTTTAAGACAGTTATGTCTCAGAGTAATCACTGTGTCTTTCTACTGACAATTCAGACCACCCCCCCAAAACCATCAGTAATTCCCAAATACTGAGGGAAAATTTACAAATAAGTCTTTAGGTCAAACAAATAACAATTCATTGATTATTATTTAATCTGTTCCTATTTTTCTCTTTCAAAATAAGAAAACAATACTTGCAATGTGATAGGTTTGCCACCTCCCAGTTAGCTGGGTTCACAGGCCTGAGCCACATGCCTGTCTCTTCTCTCAAAGTATCTTACCATACTCACTTTTTTTTGTGCTTGTAATGAGGTGACCTGTGGTTCAGATCATGATTGGTGGCACTTAACTGAAACCTCAGAAGATGAACAAGCAGATAAGGGGAGCTACCAAGTATATCACGTTTTCTTTATCCATCATCCATGGATGGAGACTGAGGTTGCTTTCCTATCTTGGTGCTCCACTTCCATGTTCATTTTAGCATCATGACAGCAGTCCTTTGCTCTACGCACTTGCCAACGCTTATCCTTTGCATTTGGTTAATAGCCATCCTAATAGTGTGAGGTGACATCTCATTGTAGTTTTAATTCACACAACCCTGATGATTAGAGATATTGATCATTTTTTCATTTATCTTTTGGTCATTTCTATCTCATTTCAGAAATGTTCTTTAACATTTTTTTAATCAGGTTATTTTCTTGCTATTAAATTGTTTGAGTCCCTTGTATATTGGATATTAGTTAGCCTCTTTTCACATTCTCAAGGCTGTCACTTCACTCTGTTTGTTGTTCGCTGTATACAGCTTCATAATTTGATAGAATTCCATTTGTCTGTTTTTGCTTTGGTTGCTGATGTTTTAGGAGTCTTAGCCAAAAATATCATTGCCCAGACCAATGTTTCAGAGCTTTCACCTGTGTTTTCTTCCACTACCTTTACAATTTTAGGTCATACACTTATTTGGTCTACCTTGAGTTAGTTTTTGTTTATGATTTGAGTTAAGGGTATAATTTCATTCTTTTTCATGTGAATATTCAGTTCTTCCAACACCACTCTTTTAAAAAAAAAAGAGAGACTGTCCTTTCCCCAGTGTATGCTCTTGGCACTTTTGTTAAAAATCAGTTGACCATGAATATTTGGATTTATTTCTGGGCTTTCTATCCTATTCTCTTGGTCCATACATCTGATTTTGCTATCAGTACCATCTGTTATGATTATAATAGGTTTATAATATATAGTTGGCCTACATCCATATCTGTGGATTCTGCATCTGTGGATTCATATTTTAAAAGGAACTTTTCATGTATTAGACATATGGCTTTTGTATAACAACTATTTACATAGCATTTGCACTGTATTATTCTAAGTAATCTAGAAATTATTTAAAGTATACAGGAGTATTGCATAGGTTGTACAAAGCTACTGTAGCATTTTATGTGAGGAACATGAGCATCTGTAGATGTTGGTGTACTTAAAGTATCCTCATAGATACTTGAAGGAGGACAACATTTTAAAATCAGGGAATGTGATGCCTACAACTTGTTCATTTTGATCTGGACTGCTTTGGCTATTCAGGGTCTTTTCTAGTTCCAGAAATTTTTTTCTATTTAACATACAAAATTACATTGGGATGTTGATAGGAATCATATTGAATATGTAGTTTATTTTGGGTAATATGGACATTTAAAAATATTCACTTCCAGTCTATGAATGTAGGCTGTCTTTCCATTTATTTGTGTCATCTTTAATTCCTTTCTTCAGTGTTTTATAGTTTCAGTGTCATATCTTTTACTTCCTTGGTTAATTTTACTCCTAATTTTTTGGATGCTATTGTAATTGGATTGTTTTCTTAATTTTTTGATAGTTTATTGTTACTGTATAGACATACTACTGATTTTTATAAGTTGATTTTGTAGACTGCAACTTTTCTGAATTTGTTTATCAGTTCTAAATTTTTTTGATGAAGTCCTTAGTTTTCTGTATATATGATCCTATCACCAGTAAACACACAATTTTATTACTTCTTTTCTAGTATGACTACCTTTTGTTTCATCTTCCTTAAATATCTTGAGTAGGATTTCACTACTATGTTGAATAGAAATGGCATTTGCATCCTAGTCTTGTTCCTGATCTTATAGGAACAGCTTTCAATATCTCACCACTGAGTATGTGTAAATCTTAATCATGATAGTAGAATAATCTGTCTGAAGGATAAAATCTTCTTTTTGGATTGATTGTAATCTATGAAAGATTTATAGTATTATCCTTTCATTTTATTATTATGGTGCTTACAAATAATTTTTCATTATAAAAATAAAATACAGAAAGTAGACACTATTCTAGATGTGTCTGAGTAGGCAAATATGCTGGTATATTCATAAAATGAGATACTACTGTGCAGTATTCATCAATACAATAGTAGGGAGGAATTTTAAATGCATTTTTTGCAAAGTGAAAGAAGCCAGTTTATATGTTATCCTGGAAAAGGCAAAAACTATATGCAAAGAAGGCAGATCAGTAGTTGCCAGAGATGTATTAAAATCCAAAGAATGGTATAAATATTCATATGTACATACTTAAAGAATATAAAATATATGAACCATTAATAAATGAACAATTATTACTGAATAACTGTCACAGGCATGATCTATTTATGAATTCTAACGTTGGTGGGCAAAAGTTAAAGGAGAAACAGTATATTTTCATAGTTAACAAAATATCTCCCCCAAAACATTTGTAGGAGAAAATAATCACTTTGTAGTATAGGAACCTGTCAGATTCTACCTTAACCAAGTAATCATGGTCAGTATTACCCATAATAAAACCTATACCCTCTGGGTCTAACGCACTAAAGAAGGATGCATTACTTGTGTTTTCTTCTTCCCCCAAAGTGCACAACCTTTGAGTCATGAGAAAACGTCAAATTTAAATTGAGGACATTCTGCAAATAACTGACCAGTGCTCTTCAAAGTGTCAAGGCTGTGAAGGACCAGGAAAGACTAAGGAACTGTCGTAGACTAAAGAAGGCTGAGATACGACTAAATGACTAAATGCACTATGAACTCATAGATACAATCTTAGAATACAAAAATCAGTTAATGAAAAAAACTGGTGAAATGGAAAGAAAGTCTTAAGTTTAATTCATAGTATTTTACTAAGGTTAATATTTTATTTAGAAATTTTTACTGTAGTTATATAAGATGCTAACAGAAGAAACTAGGCGTATGTAAACTCAATGTACTATCTTTGAAAGTCTAAAATTATTTCAAAATAAAAGTTAAGGACTGGAGGTGTAGCTTGAGTGGTAGAGCACCTGCCTGGCAAGCATGAGGACCTGAGTTCAAATTGCAGTACCACTAAAAGCAACCAACCAAAAAAAAACAACAAAGCTCTCTGAAATTAAAAGTGAAATATGGATGCTTTTATTGTCATATATCTCACAATTACTTGTAAGGTACTACAAGTACCTTAATCATCATATTTGATGATTAATTTTTAATTTATTTAAAATATGTTCAGTGTCATTACTTGGATTGAAATTTTATTGAAAGAGTCAATAACCAGAATTTAATAACAAATACAGAGTTTATTGTGAAAATTAAAACAGATGGGCTTAAATGACTCTTAATAGGATGTTTTGCTTTCCAGCTATCTTATCAGAGCTTGTTAACTTTTCTTTATTCTTTCATCCTCTTTCTTAACTAAATGAGGCCATCCATTTTCTGCCTGTTGTGTTCAATGTATGTTATGATCTGAGATTTAAATTTGCTGTGCCTGAAAGAACAGAAGATTTAAAAAGTGGTTAAGGCAGTTTGGGATTTCATAGTGGCTGGTAGGGTACCCACACTTTTATGGTGATTGGGAGAGTAGCACCATAAGATGCCAGAACTCTCTGCTTGACTGGCAGCTTTACCTGAGGTCTGGACATTAGGCATTATTACTTGGCAGACATAGTTGAATACTATTCATTGAGCTCAATCTGTAATTATTTGTTATTTTCTTTATGCCTAGTGCTATGCCAAGCTCTGCAGAAATACAGAAGTCAACATCATGATCCCTGCCAAAAAGTCCCCACTTGTTTGAAACAAAGCAAACATTAAAGCATTCCAGTAGGTGGAGAAAGCAAAGGCTTTAGAGATTTTATCTCTTTTTTTAAATTACTAAATCTGTGGCCTTGAGTATATATTTATACTCACTGAATCTGTTTCTTTATCTGTAATATAGAATGCTAAAATTGTTCTTAAAAGATTGTCATGATAACTAGTACTTGGCACATGGGGACACTCAATAAATGGTGGCTGTCATCATGGTGGTGGTTATCAATGCCAGTAGACCATTAGAAAACAGGGGAGTCTATGACAGTAAAAAACATTGTTTATTAAATATTTTGCTAGTCCTTGGTTCATTCTTTGTTTTCTTCCTTACAGAGATGATGAAGAGAAAAAAAAATCTCCCTCAGAAGGTACTGATGAAAAGGCTAATGGAACACATCCAAAGACCATCAGTCGTATTGGGAGTACGACTAACCCATTTTTGGATATTCCTCATGACCCAAATGCTGCTGTGTACAAAAGTGGATTCTTGGCTCGGAAAATCCATGCAGATATGGATGGGAAGAAGAGTAAGCATCATTTGTTGTCATTTTTTGTTTCATTTACTTGATTTTTTAGGCTCAAATTTTAAAGTGAGTTTATTTGAAATAATGCCAAGGGCGAAGAAAGAGAATGTTTATCTAGAGGAGTATTCTTCAAGTCTGAGAAAGCCTATAAGCCTAAATAAAAGACCCATTGTAGCACCTGATCTTCTCTAAATAGAACTCTAGAAATGGAAGTTAGTTCATTCCCCAGCCTCTCCATTTGTTTGTGTATCCATGACTTCAACAAGTAGTACTACTACCTACTATGTGCTACACATGAAATATATATCTGTGAATGAATGGACAGGGTCACTATCTTTGTGGAATTTATACTTCATGTGGTTGAGGGAACAATTGAATTTATACAACATAGATTAATCTATGGCATAAGGTCCCAGAAACAAAGAGGGGAAGGGAAGGAATTCATATCCAAAGCATATGTGGAGTAATTGGCCATTGGTTGGTAAGATGACATGTAAGAGAGAGAGAGCATGACATAAATATTGTTGGGAAATTGAAAGAATATATTTGCTATCTTTTGATTTCCCTGCACAATATGAGACATGATTATCTTCTGATAGATAATGGTGTTTGGAAGTTTGAGATGAATGGAGTATGCTTACATAATTACAATAATCTCTGCAAGGAGTGAAATAACAATTTGATATGTACTTGAGTGGGCTAAGACAGCTGATATGTATGCACAAAATTAGTGGGCTTTATCTCTGGGGTGTCCCCACTGACCTTCAGACAAAAATATGGAATGAAGGATTGGAAAGTACCACAGTAGCTACTTGTGGCTAGGCACTTTTTCATAAGGTATTAGCATATTTTATTTGGATGCAGTCAGGAGAAACATTTTAACATAGTGGCTTTGGCACTGGTTTATGAGTCTAAGCCATTTTTTAAATGTTTTCGAGTTCTTCAGGAGTACCTCCACCATGTTTCCTGTACACCTTGCACATTAACTTAGAATACTCTTAATTTTCTCTAACAACTTTGTGTCAGATTCCTGTATTTGCAAGTGATACCACTTCCAAGTAGCCTAGAAAAAGGCACACCTGAAGATGAAGGATTGTCACCGGGGCATACACTCCATTTCCATCTCTGCATAATTTTGTACATTAGCATTTTCTTTCTAATGGGGCCCTTTATCCATGGCTGAATCCATGGCTATTAGAGGTGTTCAATTACAACACCAAAGAACTTTCTAATTGTTCCCTAATTTTTAACTTACTACATTCCAGGACTCTGATGAATTTTAATTGAAGAGGTAAAATCTTGATTGACAACAGTCACATGGTTGCAATAGTAAGAGAAAAGTTCCTCAAGGAGGAGTAAGATTCTGGTATTGGAGGAAGGGAGTGCTTGACAGACACCATCAGTAGCTATTCACATCCTCCTTTCAGCAGGCATACATATTCATATCCTCCATACCTTCAGGGGTTTTTTGTTTGTTTGGTTTCTGATTTGAACTTGGAGTCTTGTACCTGTTAGGCAAGCACTTGTACAACTTGAGCCATGCCCCCAGCACTATACATTGAATTTTAACAATGTGCTAACTAAACATCATATGATTTTCCATTTGCAACCACAAATATACTCCTCTCTCTGCAAGTGAGCCATGCCCCCAGCACTATACATTGAATTTTAACAATGTGCTAACTAAACATCATATGATTTTCCATTTGCAACCACAAATATACTCCTCTCTCTGCAATATGCCATATTAAACTGTAGCTTCCAACTCTGAGGCTAAGATTTATAAGTTGTGAACATTCACTGTAGTCAAGTATGGATGTAGCTTCAATCTATAGGCTAAATGAAAAATAGAGAAATAGTAACTGATGTACACAGTATATATAAGGTACTGGAAAAAGAAAAGAAACAGAATAAGTGGAGTTTAAAATGCCAGTTCAAGAATATACAAAAAAGAAGAACTGATACCAACCCTCCTTAAACTGTTCCATGAAATAGAAAGGGAAGGAAAACTGCCAAACACATTTTATGAAGCCAGTATTACACTTATCCCAAAACCAGGCAAAGACACCTCCAAAAAGGAGAACTATAGGCCAATCTCCTTAATGAACATTGATGCAAAAATCCTCAACAAAATAATGGCAAACCGAATTCAGCAACACATCAAAAAGATTATTCACCACGACCAAGTAGGCTTCATCCCAGGGATGCAGGGGTGGTTCAACATACGAAAATCAATAAACGTAATAAACCACATGAACAGAAGCAAAGACAAAAACCACTTGATCATCTCAATAGATGCAGAAAAAGCCTTTGATAAGATCCAACATCATTTCATGATAAAAGCTCTAAGAAAACTAGGAATAGAAGGAAAGTTCCTCAACATTATAAAAGCTATATATGACAAACCTACAGCCAGCATTATACTTAATGGAGAAAAACTGAAACCATTCCCTCTAAAATCAGGAACCAGACAAGGATGCCCACTATCTCCACTCCTATTCAACATAGTACTGGAATTCCTAGCCAGAGCAATTAGGCAAGAAGAAGGAATAAAAGGAATACAAATAGGTAAAGAAACTGTCAAAATACCCCTATTTGCAGACGACATGATCCTATACCTTAAAGACCCAAAAAACTCTACTCAGAAGCTTCTAGACATCATCAATAGCTATAGCAAGGTAGCAGGATATAAAATCAACATAGAAAAATCATTAGCATTTCTATACACTAATAATGAACAAACTGAAAAAGAATATATGAAAACAATTCCATTTACAATAGCCTCAAAAAAAATCAAATACCTAGGTGTAAACCTAACAAAAGATGTGAAAGACCTCTACAAGGAAAACTATACACTTCTGAAGAAAGATTGAGGAAGACTATAGAAAGTGGAGAGATCTCCCATGCTCATGGATTGGTAGAATCAACATAGTAAAAATGTCGATACTCCCCAAAGTAATCTACATGTTTAATGCAATTCCCATCAAAATTCCAATGACATTCATTAAAGAGATTGAAAAATCTACTGTTAAATTTATATGGAAACACAAGAGGCCACGAATAGCCAAGGCAATACTCAGTCAAAAGAACAATGCAGGAGGTATCACAATACCTGACTTCAAACTATATTACAAAGCAATAACAATAAAAACAGCATGGTACTGGCACAAAAACAGACATGAAGACCAGTGGAACAGAATAGAGGATCCAGATATGAAGCCACACAACTATAAGCAACTTATCTTTGACAAAGGAGCTAAAAATATACGATGGAGAAATAGCAGCCTCTTCAACAAAAACTGCTGGGAAAACTGGTTAGCAGTCTGCAAAAAACTGAAACTAGATCCATGTATATCACCCTATACCAAGATTAACTCAAAATGGATCAAGGATCTTAATATCAGACCCCAAACTCTTAAGTTGATACAAGAAAGAGTAGGAAATACTCTGGAGTTAGTAGGTATAGGTAAGAACTTTCTCAATGAAACCCCAGCAGCACAGCAACTAAGAGATAGCATAGATAAATGGGACCTCATAAAACTAAAAAGCTTCTGTTCATCAAAAGAAATGGTCTCTAAACTGAAGAGAACACCCACAGAGTGGGAGAAAATATTTGCCAACTATACATCAGACAAAGGACTGATAACCAGAATATACAGGGAACTTAAAAAACTAAATTCTCCCAAAACTAATGAACCAATAAAGAAATGGGCAGTGAACTAAACAGAACTTTCTCAAAAGAAGAAATTCAAATGGCCAAAACACATGAAAAAATGCTCACCATCTCTAGCAATAAAGGAAATGCAAATTAAAACCACACTAAGATTCCACCTCACCCCTGTTAGAATAGCCATCATCAGCAACACCACCAACAACAGGTGTTGGCGAGGATGCGGGGAAAAAGGAACCCTCTTACACTGTTGGTGGGAATGTAGACTAGTACAACCACTCTGGAAAAAAATTTGGAGGCTACTTAAAAAGCTGGACATCGATCTACCATTTGATCCAGCAATACCACTCTTGGGGATATACCCAAAAGACTGTTACTCCAGAGGCACCTGCACACCCATGTTTATTGCGGCACTATTCACAATAGCCAAGTTATGGAAACAGCCAAGATGCCCACCACTGACGAATGGATTAAGAAAATGTGGTATCTATACACAATGGAATTTTATGCAGCCATGAAGAAGAACGAAATGTTATCATTCGCTGGTAAATGGATGGAATTGGAGAACATCATTCTGAGTGAGGTTAGCCTGGCCAAAAGACCAAAAATCGTATGTTCTCCCTCATATGTGGACATTAGATCAAGGGCAAACACAACAAGGGGATTGGACTATGAGCACATGATAAAAGCGAGAGCACACAAGGGAGGGGTGAGGATAGGTAAGACACCTAAAAAACTAGCTAGCATTTGTTGCCCTTAACGCAGAGAAACTAAAGCAGATACCTTAAAGCAACTGAGGCCAATAGGAAAAGGGGACAGGAACTAGAGAAAAGGTTAGATCAAAAAGAATTAGCCTAGAAGGTAACACCCACGCACAGGAAATCAATGTGAGTCGATGCCCTGTATAGCTATCCTTATCTCAACCAGCAAAACCCCTTGTTCCTTCCTATTATTGCTTATACTCTCTCTACAACAAAATTAGAGATAAGGGCAAAATAGTTTCTGCTGGGTATTGAGGGCGGGGGGAGAGGGAGGGGGCGGAGTGGGTGGTAAGGGAGGGGGTGGGGGCAGGGGGGAGAAATGAACCAAGCCTTGTATGCACATATGAATAATAAAAGAAAAATGAAAAAAAAAAAAGAATATACAAAAAAGTCTAGGCGGGGGGCACATGCCTGTAATCCCAGCATTTGGGAGGTGGAGGCAAGAGGATCTTGAGCTCTAAACCAGCCTGGTGTTCATAAGCGAGACCCTGTCCCGAAGGAAAAAGAAAATAATAAAGACTGAAAAAGGGAAGCAAAACAGCTTGCACTTATTCAGAGTGGGAACTGCCTCT